GGAGCCCGATGCGGGACTCGATCCCGGGACTCCAGGATCATGACCTGAGCCGAAGGCAGTCGCTTAACCGACTGAGCCACCCAGGCGCCCCCAGGTCAATCTTTGAAAGACCTAAGTTAGGTACCAAAGACAGTGAGGGAAAATATTTAAGCCTAACAAAAAAATATTATCCTACAAAATTTATAATGGCCCTAAATCCCAAAGCTACCTTGCTTTGGGAGGAAATAAGAAAAATCAGCTTGGAACAAATCGATCAAGCAAGCATTTATCAGAACTTTATGTTCAGGACTGGGTAGGTGCTGCGGGGGGAATACTGATTCCTGATTAAAGTCGAACAAAAAGAAAGCAAAACGAGAAGCAGAGAACGTCAGATTTCCTCTCGAATCCCAGCCTGACTTTCCTCTGAGCCCTGATAACACTGGTTTATTCTCACACCAGGTGACATCAAGCTTCCCCTCAGTGTCAACCTCCTACAGCTTTCACAAAGCCTTCTCCGACTTCTCTAGCCCACATTAATTTTTCTCTTTTCTGTATTCTTATGGAATTTCTTGTCTGTATAATTAATTTTGGCATTAAATCACAATGTCTTATATTATTATCCTTTTCTTAAGAGTTTATCTTTTCTCTCCCAGAGAGCCTGTAAGATTTTTAAGGATCACGTTTTGTATCTCTGACGATACTGTACTAAGCACACAGTAAGCAGATGCTTAATAAACACGGATGGATTGACCTGGTACCTTTCTGGCAGGTGTCTAAGTTCTCTTTGCTGACACAGGCATTTACTACCATCTCAAGGTCAAACACATTCACCAAAGAGCAGAGATACCAAAAGAGGCACAGAGTGGGACATCTCCCACCAAAGCAGAAGGGCTGGCAAGTCCAGAGGTGATAATCCAAGAGCACCGGGCTCCATGGTGGGGGGGGGGGGGGGGGGGGTTAGTGTCCTGAAAAAGCTTACCCCTCCCTGAGATGTGAGCACCTGGGGCTGAGCCCAGAGAATCCCATCTTCTAGGCTTGGGTTCAGAGAAGGAGTATCTGTCCTTAAAGAGCCAAGACATGGGAAGGAAAGGGCTCTAGATGTAAAATGGGCAAGAACACACATGAGTGGAGGCCATAAATCCCTCCCAGGACGCAGACAATGCCTCAGTGATAAGCATGCAGATTGCACACCTAGTTCAGAAACTCCCCTGAGTTTGCTTGTAATTAAGGGGGTTAGAAAGGTAAAAAAAAATATATAAACCCAATTAATCATTTAAATATTTAAAGTCAGATTTTTTCCCCACTCCAGGATTAGTATATTTCATAATGCCAGCAGCAGACAGCCCTGGTTTTTACTGGGGTTCATTTTAGAGCATGTTTAAACTAGTCAGATTGAGTGATGCTTCCAGCAACTAATCGCATGTCAAATAAAAGATATTTTATGTAATAAATTACCGCTACAAGTAATTCAAATGTCATTTATCAGTTTTATTATCAGTCAGGCAAAGTCTTGTTTCTCTATATTAATCAAAATCAAGCTTTTTTTTTTCTTTTTTTTTTTTTTTTTGAGCAGTTTTGACACCTCTTGGCAAAAGTACAGAAGTGAAGAGGTAGAGTCACCCCCGGAGCTGAAAGGAGCAGTGTAACAGTACAAGAGGAATGAAGCTCAACAATGACAAGTAGAAACTTCAGGGATTTAAAATTGCCATTACCATTGTTTTTATACTAGCGTCAAAGCAGGAAGGAGTCTGTCTCTAAGAAGATGTATTTTATTTTTAGGGCTGGGAGACTCTTAAAAATACTCCTACCTAAATACCTAAACGTGCTATGCTTCTTCTCAGAGAGACCTGGACAGAAGAATCTAGATGACGGCATTGTCCCCCTCCCCCCTCTTCTTTCACCTCTTTCAGAAAGACCAACAGCTTAACCCTTTGTGCCTACCAAAAGTAGGCAAGCACGTGATGTTTTAGGCCAACTTTGTGACCAACCAGAACAATCTGTTCTGAGCAAGAAGTTTCCAAATAGCCGAGAGACCTGTTTGGTTTTAAGCCATGGAGGAAACAGCTGGAATAGAACAGATGTGCGTCTTAGAAAATTCTGCACCCCAGCTGCCACTGCCTGTCCTCAACAAATCCCATTAAATGGCTGGGCCCAGGGACACAACTAAAGAAAAAGTGTGGAGACCTAGCCTTTGGATAGAAGGAAACCCGGAGAGTATGTTTAGTGACCCAAAACAAACACAATGGATCGGAAAGAATGCCGGCCAGGAAGGAGATGTGAGTCCCAGCCTGACAAGTTGTGGCTACTGACTCAGTAGCTCCAATACAAGGCTTACCGCTGAGCACCATTTCTTGGGTCTCAGAGATCAGGGGACACCAGCGGTTTGTGAGACAAGGTGACCACGGATGAGGTGAACTTGAATTTGTGCCACCTGGCCTCACCCATTCAACCTTATCCAGAAAGCAAAAGAAAGGAGATATCTAACTGACATCTGTGACACCATAACCCACCGCCCGGCCCCCCGCACTGTCTAAGCCAGTGAGGACGACGGCAAAGCAAGAGCCAGAAGGTAGCTCCAGACCACGTGGTGGGGGTCAAAACAAGCCTAGCATTTTGTTATGCCTTCCAAAATCTGACATCTAACACTGTTTTAAATTAACATGTTTTGAAAAAAAATAAAACTTTTAAGATAGACAATTAAAATGAAGACAATTACAGAAAAGGCATTTTGAAAGACAACAGATCCAAGGCTGAGTTATGTTAAAGACATGAAACTTGAGCTATTTTCCATCACTTCGAAGTGAATTTTAATCTTTTTAAACTTTTTATAAGTGACTTAAAGAAGGGGTTCTGGTTGTATTTTGGAGACTGTACATTTATTACTAGTTTGAAGAACCGTTATTCCTCAAACAGCTTCACTTAAAAACAACATGGGTCCTGTTCTCATGTAATAATTAAAAGCTAATTCAAAAAAGGAGCTTTACATTTAATCTGAAATTCTCTAACAGACTGTCACCACATAAACATACATGGTATAGCCAGGACAAGGAAGAAAAGAAGGAAAAGGAAGGAGAGAAGGGTGACGGGAGAGGCCACCCCAAATCTACTAATATTAACTTTAAAAAATAAAATTAGGAGAGGAGTCATTTCAGTGAGCAAACGAGAATGAGGTCATGAATCAGATGTTCATGTTCTTTATGAAAGAGTGACATGCAAAAGCATGATGTAAGAAAACAGAAACAGAACCAAGAAATACTTTTATAGATTCTTACTTGTAACCAAAATATTTCAAACAACACAATACACTCATTTATTCTGGTCCCTCATCTCTTCTTAAACCTTTGTCACATACTTAAAAGTTTGTCTAGGAGAGGATTTGGGTGTGGCACATTCTTTTGGAAAAACCCAAGAGCTGTCTACTAATCCCGGTTTCTCCCCGCTTGCTGAGTCTGGGAGATGGAAGGCACTGCTCTTTGGCCAGAATCCTGAACCCCAGACAAGGTTAAAGCAGGAGTTTGAACGGGTGACTTACTGTACGGCTGAGAAATGAGGTGAGGGGGCTGGACAGGAACCACCTGTGTGGCTGGGCCCAAGGACGAAGGCTCATCGGCAGCTGTGCCTGACTGCTGGAAAGCCAAATCAATCTCTTCATCTGTCAGCCCTGGGGGGAGAAGAGGACATAAGTGCAGGTGAATACCTTTTGCCACTGTCCCTGGCCGCATCGAAATCTTCGTTGAGAAAAGACCCTGAGAGCCCACAGAGTGCCTAGCATCCTGGTAAGTTTCCTCCCCGATTTCGGATTCTCAGGAACCTCTCTCAGTTGCAATTTAACCTTAAGCGACAGAATATTAGCCTCCACACTGTTTCCAAATGTGGCTCATTCAATTTCCTTAATTTATCCTTGAGTTTATTGCTGCTTTTGAAGTTGCTCCGTACTGCAATTCTCCATTCTTCCCCCGAAAACAGATACCATCAACTGCAAATGTGACTCATTTTAATCTGTAATGGCGTTAAAAAAAAGAGGGGGAAAAACTAACAATAATGCATGAAAACAGACAGGGAAACAAAAAACTAATTATTGGGTGAGACGACTAATTAGTCTCGATCGTTTCCGAAGACGGGAATAATTTGCTTTATTTTATGACAAATGCAGAAATAAAAAGAAAAATCAGGACTGACTGTGATTAGTATGAATGGGATATAGAATGTAAAGAAGAAAATAAAACAAGAAAACAGATCAAAACAAGGCCAGGCCCAAACTTTCAGATGGTTATTGCTCCAGCCTAGCATAGGCTGCCGGTATCGCCTTTGGCGAGCTTTTCTGCTTCCCTTTGTTTCAATCCTCCCCACACTAGAGCGCACTGCGCTCAGGACAGCCCGGAAGAGCAGGGCGCCATCTGCAGTGGCTGCAGCGCGTGGAGAGGATTTGCCCATGGGAGAGTAACAGGCGGGGGAGGGCCCGAGGAGACCCCATTTCCAGTGGGCACACGGCTGCAGCCCACTGGGGACGCTGGCCCTGTGGGAAGAGGGCGAGGATGCCAACCAACCCGAAGAACAGGGACGAGGTGTGGCGCACAGGTGTGAGAAAGACTTGCCCGCAGGGCCGGTCCGAAAAGTGGGTACAGTGGGTACAAAAGTGCTCGGGCCGCCGACAGTGGGAGCGGCAGTGGGGAGGTCACTGCTAAGTCTGCACAGACCCCTCCGGCCAGCCCGTGCTGTTCCAGGAATCCCAGTATCCAGTGCAGCCACCACGCAGAGCCTTTAAATGAGGGCCGAGGGCTTTTCCCCATCTGGTCGGCAGCTCTCCATTAGAGGCCCATGGCACGGCGTATTTGCCCCTGGGGGTAGAGGAAGTTCAAGGAGCTTCTGAGGATCAGCATCTTCCAGAGCACGGGGCCGCCCGCTCTGTGCGAAGGGGCTAATAGATGGGGCGCATTACTGCTCCGGAGCACAGCACCGCCCCACACCACACCGGCGTGTAGCTGGTGCAGCGCCTCGGTCCCTTTTCAGGCCCCACCACCAAGCGGTCAGGGAGAAGGCCTGCACTACTCTAAAAGGCCCTGGACCCTCCATTCCCCTCCCTACGCTGAGCAGATGAAGGCTGTCCCCCCCTTTGAAACCGCAGCCCTGCCCCTTCGCCCTCCGCACACAGGGGAGCCAGCCAGCGGTGGGCAAGGCTGCCCCTCAGTGAAGCCTGACTGCTGCTGCGGGGGGGCCCCAGCGCACCCCACTCTCAGTGCACCAACAGGGCAGATGAAAAGGCTGGTGCCAAGCACCTTCAAATACAAAAGCTGCCTTCTGAGTATGCGGGGCTGTACTGGGCCGTTCCTCCTCCCAAATTCCCCAGCTTGCCCCAAAGGCCTCCCGAGAGAAACTGGGGCAGGACAGACGGACAGGTACCCCGAGCGTGTGCCTCTCGGGCTCCATCCAGCTTGGGAGTGCCAGCTAGTCATCTTCCGAAGAGGAAGCGGAACCCCTTTCAGAGTTCTCCGAGGAAAGACCCGGTTTTAACCAGTTCGTCATCCGCCGCGCGAGAATCAGGCGCACGTGCGGCGTCAGCAGGGGCGGATGGTCACTGGTACACCACGGGATTTCATAAACCTGGTGCTTCGTGTGCCTTGTCAGCCGCTGGCTGCAAATGAGGATAATTTTCCCAAAAGGAGCATTCAGTTGCTTTCTCATTTTCCCTTTTGGCTCTTTCAAATATAAACAAGTACGATAATGTTTAACGCCGGGGAAATATACAGTAAGTCACGGGCTGTGCCGCGGCCCTGAGAGCCGGAGCTGGTTAAAGGGACAGCACTCCCTGCCCGCTGCTCTGCCCTCTGGCCCGGAGCTTTTACGAAGCCTATTTTCCTAATAAAACATGTTCCTTGCATTATTGCAGCCGAGCCCACTACTGAGGCTGTGGTTTAAAGGGCATCAGCACTTCCTTCCAAGCTCTTGTTTTTCAGAGACCTTATCATTTGATGCTCTAAATTTACATTGGCTGGAATTCTGATATCCCCAGTCCTCTGGAGAGTCAGGATTTTGATTTAGTTACATAAAATGAATCACTTTTCTTCTTGTAAAAAAAAAGCATTTTCATGATCTCAGTGAATAATATAATTTCATAGCTGGACCATGATCCCAGGCACTGCGTTCATTTAACAGATAAAGAACAACAACAACTAAGGCCCGAGGAAGGTGAAAACATGCCTCAGATCCCACGAGGCAGGGCATGGTGCTGCCTGCTCGACAACCCACGGCTCTCCATCTGCCGCCTGGTGACTGCCCCTCTAGCACAGAAACAACAAATGGCAGATTCTGAAATCACGTCTTAAGTCTTCAAGCTTGTGAGAGGTTGAGAGAAGCACTAAATGGTCTCTCTCAGCCCCAGCTGGCACCCCATCTACAGGTGAGGGCTGACGAATGGCGTTTGGGGGCCAGACCAAAACAGCACAGAAACCGAACGCCTGGATCCTATCTGCAAGTGACACCGGGACAACTTTTTGAACCACTCCAAAATGACAAGGGTAGTGTCCCCGTCTCATTCTAATATTCTAACCCCCAATAAATCCAAAGGCCTCTCACAGACCTGAGAGCCCTCTTCCTCAGAGCGCCCCCAGCAAGGGGTGCACTGGCCAGCCAGATTCAGTGTTCTCTCAACTCAGGTTGATTCATCTGGGACTCATGGAGACTCAGCGGGAAGGGGTGTCATCTCCTTCAGAACACAACAGTTACCTACGCAGTCATGGGCTCCTGTTGCTGAACTGACCAAGGCAGGGAAGAGGGACAGCCACAGGACCCACACACAGGACATCCAGGCTTCCTTCCCCTCCCCTCCCCGCCACAGACGGCAGAGAGCTTAGACTGAGACCTTGCAGAATCCCAAAGGTTAAAAGGAATAATAAAGGAAACCGCCAATTGGAAGTGAATTATATTTGGCTGTGAAAGCTGAGGCACAGGCTATATCATAAAAGGCATCTCTTTGCGTTGTTTACCATCACCCTGACTGATGCAGACCTTTTTTGTTGTTGTTGTTTTAAATAATCTCATGCAAATTAGACACACACACTTCCTTCCAGTTGATTGCTATCTGCAAGGAATAATCTAACCGCAGAGGGACCAAGCAAGGGCTGAGCAGAGCAGAGACGGGGGCAAAGGGTGTTGCCATCCTGTGGCAGGCAAACCTCCTGCCATGGAGTCTTCCTTTAGTCACCACCTTTGGAAGAATTAGCCAATTTCAATAAAGCCCAAGAGTTTCTTTCAGTTGGGGTATCAGTTTGCATTATGCGATAGCACTTTGCATCTAGATGCTTTCAGGAACGTCAACCTCTGCCACTTGCCAATTCCAAGAGCTACCTGCCTTGGTCTGTGACAATTAAAACGTTATCACTGACGGAGAGTAAAACTAAGAAAGTCCTGCTCAGTTATTCCATCCACTCACTAGCTTTAGCCAAGAGGAGGAGAAAGGAGCGAGGGCACCTGTCCAATATGAGGAGGCCAAAACACCTGTCTCTGAGAGGCAGTGTCATTTCACCTTTAAGATCACAGGTGCCTGGAGGAGCCTGGGTGTCTCAGTCGATTAAGCGGCTGCCTTCAGCTCAAGTCATGATCCCAGGGTCCTGGGATGGAGCCCCACGTCCAACTCCCTACTCAGCGGGGAATCTGCTTCTTCCTCTGCCCCTACCCCCGCTCATTCTCTCTCTCTCAAATAAATACTTTAAAAAGGACAAAAAAAAAAAAGGACCACAGGTGCCTGACTGGCAAAACTGAGAGCTCTCAATTCACACAGTGCAAACGAAGGTCCCGAGCACCCGGAATCAGGGTGGACTCCTTGTTCTCTCAGTTCTCTGGAATCTACTTCCAGAACCAGTGCCCTTTACAAGGAGACAGCTGCGGCCCCAGTGCAGAAGCCGCCCGGAAGATTTCTTTTCCAACACTTTCCCCAGGGTGGGATTCTTTTAAAAGAACAGAGCAAGCAAGTTACAAGCTATTGATTAATAAAGCCCCTTGTTACTGCTGTGGGCAACTGAAGTGAACGGCCTCCTCAGGGCTGCCACACCTGCTTGTTTGTATCCCCTAGAAGATACACAGATTTGTTTTCTTTTTCTAAAGGTTTCGATTCAAATGCAAACAAAACCAAACTGGTTGACTTTCTGAGCTGCAGCTGGGACCTGGGACCTGGGAGCTCGACGCTGCAGGTCCTTTCCCACGGACTCAGACAAAACTGGGCACCGGGAAGAGCTGACTTTTTCCTGCGGGACTGGCTGTGCAAGGGCTTCTCAGAATAAGTCACCTCGGTGCTGTCCCCAGTGACCGCTGAGCACTGCCACGGGGCCTGGCCCTATGCAGGTGAAGCAGAAAGACAGGTGACAGCAGACAGCAGCATTCCCTGCATCTTGCAGGTCAAACAGGTCAAACAACAGCCCGGACAGTGGGGTTAGGAATAGTTAGAAATAAGCAAAGTAATGAACACCCGACGGCACCTTCCAGCCGGGCCTGAATTTTATAATAAAAATGTCAAGTCTGGCTGGGATTGGGGAACAGGGCCAGAAGGCCAGCAGCAAAGGGCGGCGGCTGCAGGCTGGCCACTGGGGCCATCTTCCTCCCGCATCACAGTCCCTCCATGTACAGGGTTTGGGTGATTCATCTGGGACGCGCGGAGACTGTGCGGGG